GTTGGAAGGGGCTTGGAGGCCAACCTCCTGCCTTGGAAACCTCCAGTGATGGAGCCCCCCCAGCCCCAAAAGGCAAGCTGTTCCACTGTGTAATGGTTCTTATAATCAGAAAATTCCTCCTTATTCTGAGTTTGGATCTCCCTCTATAAAGTTTCTTGTCTTACCCTTGGGTCCTAGGGGAATGAATCCACTCCCTCTGCCTTTCAAGGATTGAAAGGCTGCTCTGGTGTCTCCCCTTTGCCTTCTCTTCTTTAAGCTGAGCATTTCCAATCCTTTCAAATGTTTTTCATAGGGTTTAGCCTCCAAGCACCTCATGTTCTTTGTTGCTCTTCTCTGCATTCTCTCCTATTCCTTAGCATCCTTCTTGCATTGTAGCAACAGAACTAGACATGACATGGCAGGCGTGGTCTGAACAATGCAGCATAGATTGGAATTATCACTTCCCCTGATCTCGACATTCTACGTCTCTTGATGCAGCCCACTTCATTACTTAAAACCCTCAATCATTCCCCTGCTCCAAAGAGAATCTTGGCTTTGCCCATTATTGGAGTGTGACCCTTGTTTGTTTTTTAAATTTGTTTGTTAAACCTTTAGCGAATTACAAAGGAATCTCCTTTTCTTTTATACCACCTACAACAACCTTATGAGGTAGGCTGGTCTGAGAGAGAATGGCTGATCCAAAGTCACTCCCTGAGTTTCTGTGGCTGAGAATAGACTAGAACCCAGGGCTTCCCAGTTTCAGTCCACCTTTTTTGCCATTACACCACCCTGGCTCTGGAAAGGCCTCTTGAAACCAGGGTTGGCCTTGAAACAAAGTCATGCAATAATGCAACTGTGCGGGTATGGGGGAATCTCTGTAAAAAGAGATTGAAATCACAGCAAACCTAACTAATGATGAGAGCAATATTAGAAAGTTTGCTTCATGGAAACTCAAAAGACACTTTGTAGAAACATGCAAGAAAAGAGACTTTTCATAGAAGCTTAAAAAGAAACAGATTTTTTTTTAGTCCACCAGGAAGGAATTTGCCAAGCTTTCTAAAGTCATACTTGCTTTGTTATCTAATACATTATAAACCAAGTAACACAGCAAGTATGACTTTAAAAAGCTTGGTTCCTTTCTGGTGGGCTAAAAATAAATGGACAAATGTTTTTATAAGTTATATATCTCTAATAATCACTCTGCTTAGCTCAATTATTTGCTTCTCCCTTCTTCTCAACAGGACAACATTTTCAAGCTGGAAGATTCACATTTTGAAAATGGCAGAGGAAAAAGCCCTTATGACCCTAAACTTCTGACAGCTTCTCTTTTAATAGGTATGTAGTCTAAAATAGTTAAAAAAAACAACAACAGCCAAAAGCCTCTACCTCTGTTCCTTCAAATTATTGGGCCCAGCACAAGTCAGCTCTGATTTGATTCAAATTTCAGATTTGAGGACAGGAAAAATGGGCTTGATTTATATTCAAGATTTGAAGGCAGACCAGGTCAGCTGGAGCCCCTCCAAGATCTGAGGTTTGGTTAAAGAAAAAAAGTAAATGCCAGTATGTCACATACATATATTGGAGAATAAATAAATGCCTATAGACTATATACATGCTAAAGTGCTTTTTGATTGAACTGGATAAAAATGGCAAGGACAGTAGAGGATATTAACCTGGCCAACCTTCAGTTGAATACCTTCAAGGGTTTCATTTCAATACATTTTTGAAATATTTGTCTCACACACCACTACAAAGGCAGAGATAAAAGCAATGACAGGGTGGTCTGCAAGGCGAGGTTAATAAAGGCACAATGGTGGGTTCAAATCTCCATCTCTTTTTTATGCGTGTCATGTGTGATACACATAAAAACAGGTGGAGCTTTGATTGCATGCTTCTGGCCTCCATCCTGACCTTTTTTTTTAACCTGGGACACCCCACACAGCAGTCGGCAAATTGTCCAGCTGATCTGATGCAAAAAGCCTTTTACTACTTTAAAAGAACCATTTTCAGAAACCATTTTCAACAATAAGCTTTGTGGATGGTGCAGCTTTGTAGTCTCTTATCCCTGGTTTTGATGGAAGGTTGGAAAAGCTGGTTAGTAAGCTTGGCCTCTCTGGGCAGGACTTACAGCAGGATTAGGGTGGCTGGAAATATCCTATGTTAGTTAATTAGTCGGTGGGCTGGCCCAGTGAGACCCAACAGAGAGAGAGGCAGGTCCTGAGAAAGAGACATTTGTGGCATCGCTCTCCCATCCCCGCTTCTGAAAAACATAAATATGGGAGCCAAGATCCAGTTTAGCCTGACATTCATTCATTGTCAGGAGACTTGAGCTTCTAGGCATGCACAATGCGAGAGTATGTTCCAAGTTAGTGCATTTATAAATAAATGTAAAACACCAGATGTAAAAGTAAGACTGAAGAGTGCATCCTGGACAGGTCAGGCAGGGCTCATATTCAGAGGAGAGCGAGCTTGGATGAAGCCCCCGTCTTCCTGTTGGGAAAATTAGCTTAGAAGTGTAACTTTCTATTAACACCAGAGAATAAAACCAGAGCATGTGGATGGCGAGAATACAAATGTTGAGCTGTGAAGCATGTGAATGAAGCCTCCCAAAAAGAGGTCAAATGGGCAAAGAGTTGAATGAGGTGGTAAAACTTATCCCACTTATCCCTACCCCATCTCCATATAGGGAACAGAAATTGCAACATTGTGCATTGTTTGTAACATCCCCGGAGGTGGCAAAAAGATCATCAAAACTGAAGCATTTGCAGAGACTGCAAAGTGCTTCTTAGCCTTTCTGTGATAATTTAATCATATTTTGTCAAATCAAGTCATCATCAAAGGTTTGCACAGTCCTCAGAATAAACTGTTTCCTGGGTTTAAAACCTTTCAGAAAAAGCTGGAATGTGGTGTTATTCAGCTGCATTGCATTGCAAGTTAAAACATGCATAATCCTGCATGACAATAGCAATCTGTCGTTTCTGCAGATAAGTGTGCATCTTGGGAATTTCTTATAATGAGGATGCAAACTTTATCCTCTCTTTGAACCTGTGGGCAATGGCAATCATGCAGAGCCTTTTATGCAATACAGTGTTTCCAAATGCAATCCTACTGCGTCCTAAATGTGATCCAAACATGAATTGTACATCTCTTGAATTTTTTTCAGTTCTCCCACTCTAAGCCAACACTGTTTTCCTAAACTCTGGACTTCTTCTATACATGAAAGGGTTAGGTAATTTACAGGAGAAAATCAAGTAGGGTGCTTCAATATCAATTATCAGCTACTTTACAACCTCTTCTACTCCCCCCTAGTTAACTCCAACTTCACAGTAACAGGAAAATTAAACTATCATTTCAAGCAGAAAATGATGTTTGGGCCTGGAAGTTTATAAAGTATAAAGAGCTTAAATTCAGTTAATTATGGCTGTATTTTTTTTTTAAAAAAAGCACCTATGTGGCAGCCCCTAGCCAAAGTTGGCTGATCTTGAAAAGCTAAGCAGGATCAGACTTGCGTGGTACTTGGATGGGAGCTCATCAGAAAGTCCTAGGCCTGTGAACTGAACAGGGAAGTACGGTTACCAAGAAAAGTACACAGACATGACTTTGAAGTTACCAGAAGTGAAGCAAGGAAATTATACTTTATTTAAAAGATTTGTATGGTTGCCTATCTTAAAGCACAACTCTGAATACCCCTGGATACCTTTGAATGTTGAAAGGATATTATATTTCAGACCAGGATCACACATTTTTTTCAAAAACCAGGAGGAGTCTGGTAGCACCTTTTCCAGCTGTCCAATTTTATTTTATTTCAGCTTATGTTTTTGAATAAAACTGAGCCTTGGTTAGTCAGAAAAGGTGCTACCAGACTCCTCCTGATTTTATAGATGGCATGGCTCTCCTCCAGTCTTTTCATGGATTTGTTTTTCCCCCTGTGAAGTATTAAAGTGAAGTCATGCATCATGTTTCCCAGGTTCTCTTGGCAGAAAGTTTGGTAGGATTATTTTTTTTTTCCATTGGCAGAATGAGAATTCTTTTGCACAAAGAACATCTTATTGAGGTTGGGGGGCAGGGGAGGACAAGCCAGCCCTTTTTATTTTATGCTGCTTACCAAAAGGTTGGAGAAAGGAAGGAAGGAAAACTAATCACATGAGCCTCTTCCAGGCCTCTGGAGCTCCATGTATCCTTATGGACAAGTGTCTCCAGTCAGCAAGTCAGACCTAACTGCCATGCATTCACTGAAAATGTTTTGAAATGGCTGGCAAAAAAAAAAAAATGGTGTCAAGGATCCAAGAGTGAATTTAGGAACGTCCAAAGTTTGGAGCACATTTCTTTCTCTCTCCCCTCCTTCCCCCCATGAAGAGTAGTTTTCTGTGCCATGTTCCAAGTATTTGCATCCAATAGTTTGCTGGATGACAGACGCCAAGGTGCTTGCCAGCATATCTTGGGCAATCCCACGCGTGGGTAGGGCCTGACCTTTCTCTCACTCACGCCTATTGGGGTGATTGTAAGGGGCAGAGGCCAAAGACACAGATTTCACCCCTCAGGGCCTGGGGTAAAAACCTTGCCTGGTCCTGCCCACCAGTGCTAGCCTGAAGATGTTACCTAGCCGGGTAACGAAATGTTTGGAGGAAAACAGTCAAGCTCAGAGAACCCCAAGGACTCCACAGTTCAACCCTGAGTTACACATATTCTCTTCTATTGGTACATCCAACTCTCTGCTCACAAATGTAAACAGAAAGTTCCTTTTCAGGCTATCTAAGCACTTAAGGCTGTGTTCTTTGGATTTCTGTCACCATCTTGGTGGTTGTTCTTCCTCCTCCATGTGGATGGCGAG